GCACTTGCGTGTGGAATATGCAATGGTGATATGTTTGGTGGTGTATGCGTAGCCTCACGGATGCACTTGCCACATATGAACTAGCCACAATGTAAGCCTCAAACTGCATTGTTCAATCATGTTCTTGCTCTATCACCGTGTTATGTCTCACTGATTATCGAAAACAACAAAAATTGAATATGGCCAATGCCAATCAATGTCATGTATCCCCAATCGCAATATGATGTCTCCCATTTGCCCGTTCGAAGCCACATTCACATGGCAAAGGGGATTTTTTTTCAAGCGGCATGGTTAATCCCGAGTACCTATGTAAAAACGGACCCTAATTTAAAAAAGGTCATGTCGGATCCCCCTAAATACGGTGTGAATTCGTTTTTAAATTACCGCCCTTTCAAGCCGATTCAAGCCGCTACTAAACTACCAACATTGCCGATTTTGGAGAGGTTTTTCTTAGTAGGTTCCAAAAACAACCGTAACTGCGCACCTCTGTCCGTCCTGTCTATCCACCATGACACGCCGACTTACACCAGCAGGCTTTCCTTCCCCCAATGCACGGACTCACGCAAACGCACTTGCCACCGAGGTCATGCAACACCGCATGGCACAGCGACATCACCTTTCGAAAGCTTTAGCTGTTAGTCTACTGAAGAATCACTATTCTAATTTTAATGAAGGTTTTTGTAGGTGAAAAGGTTTTTTGCATGTTTGATACGAGTTTAAGAAATGTGTTTTTTTAATAAAATGTTCATGGATTGCCTTTTTGTTTTGAAACTCTTTCCAGGTGACCCTATTTTGGACCCCCGATTTCAGGGACCCCCTATTGGAAAAAATGCGACCGAGGTTTCCTTATTAGGGGGGGGCCTCGTGTCTTTTAATAGTGGAAGGGATTAATGCCAGCCACAATAAAATAGCAATCGAGATTCATCAGGGTGTCTTTAGGAAAGTTCAGCTGATGCTAATCATATCCATTCATGCATCTGTGACCCTCTGAGATCTTGGTAGATGGGTCACCCCGTGGTATCCAACCGCCATTCCATGCGTGCCATGTAGCAATTGATGGTGGCCTGCAATATGTAAAAAACATGGTAGAACACAAGGCGCTCCATCTCCATTCCCGTGGTATACCATCGACGTTTTGGACCCGGTCGGTCTGGGGGCTTTCCGGTGATCAGTGATTGATCCAACTCGATCGATCGATCCAATTCATCAGGGCAAGTGATACCGTCTAGAAAACTCGTTCGGTGGCACGCTAGACTTGCTAGACTGAATCCAGGTTCGTTGGATCGTTCTGGTGCTCCTTTCCTTCTCTTCTAGCTTAGACAGAAAGCTGCCGTGCTCAAGAAGCCCTACCAGTGAAAGTGGTCCAAGTGGTACCTAAATCGGTAGAAGTTATGGCAATGGCAGCGGCATGCCAATTTCCAAAGGTAAGAGTCGAATAGGGAAGCGCATGGAAGCGCCAAACATGGACGACTTTCCCCTCGACTTCCCGTGCTTTCTTCATCTTTCGTCATCTCCACCCCACGTTGAAACCGCATCGGTCCTCTTGAGGTTGAAGCGAACAGCTCTCACCCCCGCAGCATGCAAACGTCTGAGCTCCTCATCCTCAGGTCATCTGAGCATCTTGAGGTCTCCAAGAGAGTTCCCAGCTCGGAACGGCCCCCTTTGTTTCCAAAGGGAAAACCTGGACTCGACTTCGAGTACATTGAAACATGGGACAAGACCCTGCAAACAAACAGGCACTTGTACAATTTTGTACCCATTTTCAGGCTCCAGTTGTGGATAGCTACCGACCCTCAGTCGCTCCCTGGAAGGGCTGCTCTGGCGGCTCTGGCTGATGCCAAAGAGGTTCAGCTCCTTCTGTCTCAATGAGTGCATCTTAAAATCGTGGATGAGAATCCTCTCGGACGAAAGACGTAGGCCAAGTTGGTTTCCTTCCATTCTCAGCACCACATCTCGGCTCGGATTCATAACACCTTTGGATGGCCTCTTTGGACTCAACATCCTCTTCGATGCGCTGTGTTTGTCTCAAAAGTCTACCAACCTCCCGGAGGGGCGAACCGATCGAGATCCCCTTCGCCGGGCTCAGTCTAAGGGGCCTTTTCCATGCCTTTTCCTTTAGACCCTAAAACCGGGGGAGTCGGTGGAACATCAGCATCCCCTTACGTCTCACCAGGTCGCGCTCACAGAGGGAGGCAGCTGTACCACACCCACAAAGCGTGGACCCAGGCGTTGCAAGGCAGGGACCAGGTAGCTGGTGTCAAAGCCTCCATAGGCTGAGGTGAAAAGATGCTGAGCACTGGAGAACATCTGGGTCGCCCACACGATGCCAAGCTCGCTATGCCAAATACTTGGAGCAACTCCCACAAATGGCCTTCGGCCGCTAAGGCAAATCTTTTAGAACATTTTAGAACCTCGCGTTTAGAAGGGTAGACTACATTCATTCCACGCAAACCAAATATCTGCCAAACCGACCTGAACACCGAACCCTTCAGGTTTCGACCGCAGGTTTAGCCCAGTTCGTCAAAGGAAAGACACCCAAGTATGTCCTTAACTCAAAAGGACAATTACATGATGGTCCGTCACTAACCCTGAAAACAAATGTGTGTGTGCACCTATTTTGTTTGTGTTTTCATCTGTGCTATCAAATGACCCTGTGGAAAAAGTTACCTAAGTACCTCCCATGCAAGAAGAACCATGGTGAAGGTGTCTGGTACGTGGTTTACGTGGTCACAGCTACAAGTCTTCGTGACTCTTTCCTGGTGACTGGGCTCTCTGCGTCACTACTTCCTTCCAGTTGTGCATGCTCTTAGGTTGGAGGCCATTGCTATTAGATGCTATTAGATGGTTGGCCATCTCCTTTGATCGCTCCACGGAACGACACGTGCCGCCCCAGGGCCCTCAAAGATGGTGGACCAGTCGACCAGCTCAGTCATCCCACGGGCGACGCGACGGTCATGCCGTCGCACGTGCGATCAACTACAAGTTTTGATGGCACTGGCACCCCATGATGTCTGCAACCACTAAACTTGGGAAATGGTGCCATCAGCTCCTTCCTAAAAAAAAACAAACAGCACGCACACACATACTGATGTCGGTCGCCGGGCCTTGTGTTGAGGCTGAGACCAAGGCTCCTCCCACGATGTTCAACTTCTCCATCCAACCTGATGTTCAGGCGCATCTGGGGGGCTCCATGAAGTGCAAAGCATGTAGGAAGAAAACACCTCGAAGCCGGTGGTTCTTAAGTATGAGCTTAAGGCGAGAACAAGATTGTTAAACATCATCAAACAACACATGTTTGGTTGAAAGGAATCAAGCATGAACACCCAGCAAAAGTAAACTGAACAGTCTCCCGTGAAAGCGCTTGCCTCGCGTAAAGCGTGGACATCAGGGCCTGTTTCATAGAGCAAAACCAGGGACAAGATTGCCGCAAACAGGGTTTTCGGGGCAAATCGCTTCATCTCCCGATTCCACAGGCTGCCGTGGATGGTGGAATTGGGGGACGTCAACCCCAGTGCTCGGAATCCAAACGTCATGGAGCCCTTCTGGCTTAGCTTTCCAACGCAAGTTTGGCAGATCCACATGGAGTCCAACACATCATCCACATGGAGTCTCAGTTCGTACCTCTGAGTACGCCTCCGAAACACTGTGACGTGGCATGACATAGTTCCGTTAGGAAGTTCATGTTTAGAAAAGCCAACAGGGGGTGAACTCCAATTCCATGTGATGTGTTAGTTGGAGTGCACTTGCTGTCGATCTAGGGTCATGTCCTCTTTTCTAGGCTACGACCTGGAGACAAAAAGACATGGAACATGATCCGGTCGGCAGAGATGGACCAACCCAGCCAGGTGATGATCCATTCATGATTGAGAGATCCGAACTGTGAAAACGGGTTGGTTTGGTGGTGGATTTGTTCGTGTCGATCCGTGCTGAAAAAGAAGCAGTCAACCTGGTTGAAAAGCAAACCTCTTGGGGTTTCCTTTGCCCCACGCAGTGGTCCAAAACAGCCTGCAGTTGCTCCAGAACAGTCCTCCTCCGGAGCTTTCTCAGGTTCATCATATCGCCCATGGTTTTCTGAAGAACTCAAGGGAGCAAACACGGCCAGTAAACAATTCAGGCAGGACAAGAACGAATAGTAATAGACATAGTGACATAGACTAATAGAGTATCAGCTGTCATGTACCAGCCTACTGTACAATGGTAGACTGCCAAACCCCAAACCAAATATGCAAGCAAAAGGCTTCGATAATCCTTCAGGCCAAAGATCTCTGGCAAATAGCCCTCATTCCTGAGATAAGGGGGTATGATCTGACTGGTTGGAACCCGGTCAAAAGACAAAATAAAGAACTTAAGAACTTCATACCATACCTTATATAATTACTTACACGGCTTGCCACCTCCTGTGAAGAACAAGTGTAACACTAAGAACATGTCTCCTTGCTGTTGTCTGCAGCCATGTGTGGGCAGGTGGGTAAGGGGCAAAACGGGGCACTATTGAAGACGAACTCGTAAGCAAGTTTAGGGCTTAGCGCGTAGTAGATGGGCTTAGGGCTTTCCATCTCATTATTTTAGTAAATGTTGTTGAGTCAGACTCCCAAGTGAAATGCTGGGGGTAATCATCTTTGGAGCAAGCCCCTGAACCGCGGCGCAGTGTCTCCACCAAAGGAAAGCCCTCCTCAAAAATGTGAAAGTGAGCATCGAAGATCATGCGCTGTGCAGGCCGCACCGCTCGCACCAAGCAGCTGCGCAACATGGAGTCGATGCCACGGCGACAGCGGCGGTGCTGCTGCTGTGCTACTGATATTGCTGCTTGGACATCGTCCAGCATGACATGCAGAGTGTTTAGCAAAGATCTGCGCCACACTTGGCACCAAGAACATGCATGGTCCGCCGAAGCTTTGAGGCCTTTTGAAAAAATGCATTGGCATCATCGCACCAGCTTGATCCTGTCCCTCCTCCCCACCTGCACCCGCCTCCCCCTCCTCACACCGGAGCCGGCGCTCCTGGAAGTGATGCACCTCCACAGGGTTCCGCGCCGACAGCACCTGCACGGTGTCCTCGACCTTGGCGACCTCGCACCGGCTCATCCGATGGCCACGGGGCGGTTCCGAGACCCAGTTGGGTGGGTTAGGTGGGCCTCACCTGGTGTTGTTCCCCTTCCAACCCGTCAAGCCATGAGATCACCCGCTGGTTGGTGGAAAACTGCCCAATAGACGTGGGTGATACGTGTCTTTGGTGAGTTGGTCCAGGTTGGCACACCGGAGATCCTTTGGATACTCCTTTGGGTCCCTCACCTCCTGGTGGTCAAACAGCAGCTTTGGATATGTCGCCCTCATGGTGGAACAAACCTCCGGGACCTTCCCACCACATCTTTAGACGTCTTCCCTGGTTTTCCATTGGGCACACCCACCTGAAGAGGTGGCGCCACCCCCCCAAGTCACTTGCTGTCTCTCTCCGGTGAGAGGGCAAGCCCTCCGAGAGGTCATCAACACTGGCGATTGGAGCCCTTCAAGGCCGTTCGAGAGGCGTTTCTGTCCTTGTCCGGAACACCCAGAAGACAACCCCGTGAAACCGTCTCCTACAATCATCCTGAAGGTCTTGCCCTATCATCCTAAAGGTCCGGCCCTTCCACCACTCTGTGGGGACCCACTTCCAATTCCATTGCAGTGGTATAATTTCATCCTTTTTGCAAAGTGTCTCAAAGCTCCCTTAGATCCACCCTGGGACAATCATTGCGATCGCCTCGATTTCGGATGACCATTCTTCACCGGTGGTGATGTTCCACGCAACCGTGGATCACCCTATAGGCCTCCAAGTACCTTCTGGAGGGTCTAAACACCTTCTGAGGAGGTACTTGGAGGTGTAGGATCAGGGAGTGTCTCGCCTACGGGAGGAGGGCGCTTGGAATCCACCTCTGCACCATCTCATGTGCTCGGGCTCCCGGGCACGTCGGGTGTTCTCCCGCACGGAGATGAAAATCTCCTCCGCCCAGGTCCGTTGCCGTGGGAAATGAGCGAAAAGACCAGACAAGACGCTACCAGCACTGCAAAGGTCGGTGGGGGCAGTAGGCTTTCCCAAATCATGACCAACAAATGACAAAAAAACAAATAAATTGTAGCTTAAACCATGATAGACCAACAATCTTCATGTTGAAGCTATTAATTGGACTGTTTTATCAGTTCCACTTCCAATAGAACATGTTCCACGACTCTTCCACCTGAAAACAGCTCACCCCACTCCGAATACTCCGCATACAGCTGTTGCATGGAGCGAAGCTTTTGGATGTCGCCCATCAAACGTTGCAGCTCCTGCGTTGCAGAGCTGAACTGCTTCGGCGTCGTCGGAGCAGCACATCCATTGCTTCCAGGGCCCGGATCATGGATAGCCCTTAAACTCTAAGGGGCGATTGTTAGACGGCCTCTGGGTTAAAGGGATGAGAGTTCTGTTTGGAACGTGACCGGGGTGGTTCATGATTGACCACACCTGCCTGGTTTAGAAGGTCTCCCGCGCAGCCCGGTATCCCGCAGTCTAAGATCTACTGAGGGTATATCATCATGGTATTATCTCGGTGTGTATATATATATATACCCATTACCAGTAACAGTAACAGCTCTGGTTCCTCTCACAGACCGATGCAGGGTCTTGTGCCCGCATCCGTGCGCTGTGCACTGGTCTCTTTACTAGTCACAGTGGATGACGATGGTTAGTAAAGGCCTTTGGACACACCCTATAGATCGCAATCCCGCAGAACCTACTGTAGAAAGAACACCACCCGCCACATTCAGGAGAGATACACCCTGAAAAAATTAACATGGAACCTGAAAACCACTGGGTTGTAAAGAAAAAAAGTCTTCCAAAGTTTCCAAAGTTCCAATTCAGGTTCCATGTGGGTCTCTTCCAGGGTGCACCCGCCAAATGAATTCGCTCGTCCGTCGGATGTGGCTGTTGGGTTCGCCGGCTTCCGGGTCCGGCACAGATGCTCATACTCAAACTTCTCCCCAGTTGATCGGCCGGTGGCTGGTGCCAATTCCCAGCTGTCACCTTCATTGCGCATGGAGGTTTGCCTCCGAACCGGAACTGCCCGTGATGTGGGTCTCCTTGTCGTGCTGCTTGATGGCATCCTGGTGCCCGGTGCCGGGAGAAAGGCATTGCTCGAAGGCTGAAACAGAAAAACCACCGGAGAAGATGTGAACCAAAAGCAAGGTGAAACTGTAGATGAAGCTGACTGATGACCATGTATACCGTATACCCTTGGTTGTTGTGGGCGGAGGGCATGCTAGTCTTCTTGCGAATGAGCTTAAAGGCAGGTGTACGAGCACCATCAATCAAGCAAAGTTGGAACTGGCTCTGCCACTGGTCAGTTCAGCCTTTGACGACCATGGTTTATTAAGAAAATACGTATGTCTGTAGGCTGGTACAGGTAGAACATCCGATAACATCCGTATCATTGGGGAAGGAGCCTCCAGGCTGCCCCCAGGTTTGACCGGTCCTCGTTGGTTTTCACCTCCGGCAGGAACTGGCTCAACTTGGCCTCGAAGCCTTTGGCGTGCCTCACACAAATACTGGCCATGCTGAGGTGGAGATGTTTTGTTTGACTCTTGCATTGTGTTCATCAGGCCTCGCTGGGGCCTGCTGGTGGTCACCAAGAGGGCCAGGTCCGAACTTAGGAGCCGTTATATCCTCAAAGTCCACCCTTGTCGCGCTCCAGTGTGGCAGGACGCCCCGATTCTATACAGGGCGCAGTGTCCATGTCTTCCATTCGAACGACCACATGATCAAAAAAATGACCGAAAAGCTCTGTGTGAAGGCATGTGGAGAGAACCGGCTAAGAGGGAAAGCCACGGGCAACTCCAAACTAATCCAAACGCGTCTTTCAAGAAAACCAGTGCCCCCTCAAGGCGCTCCAGGGCCTACACCAGACCCTACCACCCACCTTCCAGGTACAATTGCCTCAAAATCCAAGCTCCGAGCCAACGAAACTAGGATCCTTTTCACGGTAGATGATGATGGCTGGCAAATCCCTGGACCAGTACGGTCTAGTGGCTCTGATGCATGCCTGCATCAGACCTGGCTTCAATCTTCGGGGGGCAACACGGACCAATGATACAGGCGAGACACCCCCAAAGTTTGCAGTTCAGGAGGTGAGCTACTCGCCCTCCAACGATCATGGAAGTGGGCAATGCCCTTTTGGATAATCATATTCCTTTACAAAGGGGGGTGTTCTCCATTTTGATGATTGTTTGAGGCATGAGCTAGGGTGTGGACCCCAATAACCACACAACAAGCTTGGAGTCGGTGTTCTTCAGTTCTTCCCCAAGTCTTGACCCTCCAATGATCCATTTCAGACGTCCAAGTAGCCAAGACGCACCAAACTAGCCAGACACACGAAACGGCCAAGGAACTGTGAGAGGCAAGCAAACTTCTCGTCATCCTCTGCCTGGTTTTCACCACACCACGCCAGCTCGCGCCCCCAAGACGACCGCGGACCAGGCCGGGTCGATCGGATCACCAGAGCGCCCAGCTCCATCCCGGTCCGGGGTCGGGATCGGATCCAACGTACGGGGTAAAGAACCAACCACTTGGTCCATAACAACCACAAGACCCGAGATGACCCGAGATGACCTGATCCTGTCTGCTAGTGGATGCCATACCATGTGGTCAAGATGGTCAATGCCCGTGGACTCAGCAGTTGTGCTAGGGTGAAACCAGCCTCTAACTCCCCTGTGACGCAATGGCCTGCCGAGCGGAGACTCTCATCCGGACTTGCTTGATCGCGTCGCCGTTCTTACAGCAGTTCTCATCCAATTGGCCTTGCACGTGGGGCCAAGACTAGTCGGACGGTTTAAGACTCACGATGCGACACAAGTCCACAAAGGGGTGCCGAACTGGGAGGCCCAGGTGACCATGAGTCCACTGGATTGGAAACCACTCCTCTAAAAACTGCTGGTTATTTCTAAATCCAATTGAGTGTATACAAACCTAGGGAGCCTCCCAGGCAACGAGCCCCTGGAAGAAGGAAAATCGACCATGTCATTCTTTGGTTGCAAGGAAAAATACACGCCCATTCTTGGTCCGGAGGCTTTGACTTTCTCGAAATAACCTCAGAATGGGAACCCTCTCCGGGGATCGCCGTGGGTTGGTGAGGAAACCTGCACTCACAGCAGCTCCGACCTGGAAACACCGAGGCCCGGGTGATGCTGTGGACGAGGGACTGATCGTCTCCAATTGAGTGGTTTGCTCGCCGCGCAGGTCCTTGCAAAAGGTGTGCAAGTAGTTGAGCCTGCGCCAGAGAGTGAAACCCAAGAAAAACAGGTCGGAAGGGCCAAATACGACGAGATTCTTTAGCGCTCAGCAGTCGGAAAACTGTCGATTAAAAAACTGAGTCTTTACGATGCGCAAATGTGCGATGATTTGAGTACACCTGGATCTTCAAACAGCACGAACTCCATCTTGAGCCGTTTTTGTTGGTGAACGCATGTGCTCAGAATCGGAAGGGGAACGACACCGGTGGAACAAAAACACACACATGTGCCGATGTCTATTTGGTGTTCGTTGGTTTCCGCCCTTCTTTGGGAAAACACGCCGTAACAGCATTGTTTCCTGAAAAGGCATGCCGTTTGGAAGATCCAGGTATTTTCGGGAGAAACCAGCAAAGCGGGCAACTGCTGCAAAGCTACAGCATGCTACAGCCAAAAAGGTTGATTGGTAGACACCAAAAAAACTGCCAATACCAATACCTGCTAACGAGAGGAACTCAAAGTATTTGTATGCTGCACCATTGGATGGCAACCACCGGGAACACCAGTCAGCCGCTAGTTGGCTGAAGCGTTCACAACGTACAGTAGAAACAGTGCCAGCAGGAAAGAAGAACAGCAGGTTCACTCGAGGTCTCCTGTGTCACCTGCAAATCCCGTGCAATTGTGATAGGGTGCTGCGGCCGACAAATAAATTTGCGACCTCCAACCTGGAAGCGATGGCCTCCAACCTAGAAGCGATGGCTGATAGGGTGTTCTAAATGTGCTTCATCATTCAGAGGGTTCCATGATGCCCCATGTTTTTGGTGTTCCTAACGACCATGCACCCTCCTGACTCCTGACCCTCCGATTTCCACACGACTGAGCGCTACGACTCCCCGCCTACTCTCCACCACGGTGCTCACATGCTTCTCCACCTCTGACAGGCCTTGTGAACGAACATCTTCAAAAGAAAGGCTTCGGAAGATTCAACTGCCGGAAGTGGCGTTGCAAAACCTATCCGGTCCAAGTGGTTCTGGACATACAAGGGCACCCAAGAGTGACTGACAGTTCGTGAGTTTTCTTTTGCCAGATTTCCATCCCAACATACGCAACTGGCCAAGCAAAGGCTTGCAGCATGCGTTCCTCTCTACGTGTATATGTGAAGTCCATCTGAGTTCCTGGCGCTGAAGACTAGAGTTACAGCCATTCACGTGTTTGGCAAAGGCATTTGCCTTCTACCATGTACTTCCGGTCAAGTTCGGCCTCCAGCATGATACAAAGGCCCAGACCCTAGCAGCTCTAGCGTTCCGCGTGCCGTCCACATCTCCACGGTGGGGAGGAAACCGTTTCGATCATTCGTTGAACCAGTGAAGCACTTTGTGTGGATCGGATTCACCCCCAGCAACGCTGAGAACATCGAATTTAACCCCACCTTCCTTGAATCGAAGTCAACCAAAAATCACCTTTCGAAACAAGAAAAACAGTGTGGCATCGGCCATGTCAGGGAACAACCTCTCCGAACCTCTCCGTTCACAAGTCCAACCCAGCTTTCCCAGCTTCCGGCCATCCCGCCCGCACCCTCGTGGAGGCGTTGGAGCTGTGCCATCACGCCGTCCTGACCGCCCATCAATGCCTCGGCGGAAGAGGCCAACACACATGGCCAACATGGCCAACTCCAGGCAAGTACTAGTACTGAGCAGCCAGGCAACGGGGAGTCGAACAAAAAAACATTGTGAATTGGAAAACAAAGGAACTCGAAGAACACAAACACTTCGTGCATATATACATATCTAGTCTTACATATATATAACAATAAATATATATGTATACACATACTCTTGCAATCATCCTTTGAAGAGTTATTGTAGCCAAACAAACACTCAATTAGGCAAAAGGTGGGGAGCAAATGGGAGCAGCTCACGTTCGACGGAGCCAGGAGGCAAAATCCATTAATTTCAGCTGCCAACATTACCACAGCAAGTTCAGGGAGTAAATAGAGCTAAGTAATTGTACACAATCTTCACAAGGTTAGTGAGTAGATTCAAAGGTTAGTGAGTAGGTCATGATCACTTGCACGATGTCAAAAGCAGTTGTCTTTGATGTAATCAGAAGTGACCTGGGTCTGCCTGTCAAAAAAGAACTCTGCTTTCGAACTAGCCAGGACTGCAAACTTCAGAAAGACCTGACTTTGCGTCCTACTAGTCGTCGGGCATGACACAACAGCGTAAGAATGCGAGGATTCGAGGATGTGTATCATCACCCTCCCGTCCCTCCCTTCCCCTCAAGAAGGAGCAATAATGAGCAATAACACCAGGCTTAAATGGCCTCCAGCCTGATAGGACCTATTAGGGATGGCCTCCAACCTAATAGCAATATATAATGCCGGTGACATTTTGAAGGCTTAAGTGGCCTCCAACCTAATAGGGATGGCCTCCAACCTGGTAGCAATGCCGTCTCTAAGTGACTCTTTCGAGGCTTACGTGGCCTCAATCTAGGATCTCTCCTTCTTGGTCACTTTGAAGAACCAGGTGCCGTCACCAGGGTCACCCAGGTGCCGTCACCACGAGCAGAAAAAATAACGCATTCTGCTCGGCCTCGATCTGCTCGGAGGTGCGCAGCAAACGACCATCCTCAGGCGTTCTTCGAACCAAAACACCATGGATGGGTGATTTTGTGATGCTTGGAGGGTCCATGTGCGGTCGGAGGTGCATATGTCATAATCTTATTCCATAATTCCATGCATCATGAATAGTATTGAATTGTGTTCCTTTTGTTCGGCTTCACATGCCTTGTCTCCCAAGCGGTGGGGAACTCTTACTTGGGAACACCATGAACACCAAGCACTTCGGTGTGTTTCTTTTCAGAGGCCCAGTGGATGATGATGGTTTAGTTGCAGGCCTTTCCATATTTTACCCCTTTACCGCCTGTTACACGCAAGTTGCCGGTATATCATATAAGTTCTCTGTTTCCCCAAGCCCTCCCTGCATAAGCAAGTAAAACCAAAAGCACGCCCACAAAAATAAACAAGAGCTACTGCAAGAGCTGCACATTTGGGGGCTGAACTGGCACACCTCCCGTCCAAAACCACCGGAACGTCTCCCGCCGTTTCCAAGCGACCGCTTCCATCAAATGGCCTTTGAGCTCCTGAGGGATGGGGAAGGAGGGACGTTTCCACCCCAAGGGCTTTGGAGGGGTCCAAACTCTGCGGTGAGCAGGGAGGTTGAAGGGTTTTGGAGGGTCCAACCCCCCTGCGGTGAGCAGGGAGGGTCTAAGACGATCCTGCAACAAGTCAATTCGGAGCTCTGCAACGAGCGCTTGGAGTCGAACCGCACTCCCGCTCCTCATGATCTGCGGCTAACTTCTCGTGCTTTGGGACGATTGCCCTCACCTCCGTGGCTTTGTGGGGTGTGGGCGGGTTTGAAGTCTCGAGCCTTCTGAAAGCGCAACTATCAAGACTATCCCTTGGAGCTTTCGCACGCTTGCGAAGGGTCTTCTGGTGCTTCCGGTTGGTCGGAGCGAGAGCAAGATTTGCCCACTTGAAAAGTGGAAGGCACCCGCTTTTGCATAAATTGGATTGAATACATGGAGCACGTGATATCGACATGAACCATGCACATAAATAGTGTGAAGTATAATTTATACTTTTATTGCTACACCTTTATATATAGTAAACGGAAACATCGCACGCACCCTCAAGCCCTTCAATGTGGTCTGTACGCGCATGCAGGTGGAAAATTGCCCTTAGAAGGCAATTTTCCTCGACAAACCGGTGGTTGTCCACTTCATTCCACTTCCATGATTGTTCCAGCGAGGGTGCTGTAACTTGACCATGCGAGACGCGCTTTCTTCGTCTGGGCCAACCACAACGATTCTGTTCAATGCACTTAACTTATCTTAACTTTGTTATGCAAAGCCTGGGTCATAGTAGTTCTGTTCCATGCAGGCATGCGGCATGTGGCCTTTTGGACAGCTTTCCTCCCTAGCATGCATAGGAATTGCATCGATCTATATATAACTATATATATACATACAAAGAGATATACATATTATTTAAAAAGAACAACACATGAATCATCCTGCATACAAAACACAATAATAATCATCATACTACAAGCCTTGGGGCTGGGTTCCTTGAGTGACTCCACATACCCTCTGAGAGGCTGCTCTTGCGGCCTTTAGGAGGGTCTGTATATGTCTTGCCTTCGTTCGACCCGTGCACCCGTAGATCAACCGACTGACTCCGACTGACCCAAAAAAACGATCCCGGCACGACGACCTGTCGATCCTTCGACGACCTGTGCACCTCCAAACGCACTTCTTCGATCTTCTGTGCGAGAGCCACATCCGCCTGTTCCTAGGACCGGCGGACCGGCTTCCCGTTCCTCCAAAGGGGGTTTCAAGAAAAGACCGCCATGGTGAGAATTCCTTTTGCTTATGGTGAAGAATGCCGGACCTTCAGAATTTACTGTCCGAATCTCCAACCAATAAATTCAGTGATCTTAAAGTTCTGCTTCAACGACTCGACAGGTCAGCGAGACCGAGGACGTCCAACGGTCCAACTGCTGCGTCGTCCGACGGTCGGTGCTGCGTCGAAAGATCCAATGGCGGCACGGTGGTGGCCAACTGCGCAATCTTCTCACGGTTCTGAACCACCTTGAAGGGAGTCGATTGCGTGGAGGTAGGAGACAGGAGGCAGGAGAAAGCAAAAGTCATCTAAAGTCTGAAAAAGCTTCGAAATCCACATCCAAAGCCCCATCTAGTTGGAGGGTGAGGGTCTTATTGCTGATAGAGCACTCTAAGAGAGGGTCCGAGCAGTAGTAGTAGTAGTAGTAGTGGTAGTGGTAGTGGTAGTAATAGTAGTAGTAGTCATCGTCGTCGTGGTGGCGGCGGTGGCGGTGGTGGTAGTGCTAGCAACTGTGCTAACAGTAGAAAATCGTTGTGTGGTAGTGCCAGTGGTAGTGATAGTGGTGATAGCGGTAGTAGTAGTAGTAGCAGCAGCAGCAGCAGTTGCATGTAGTAGCCTCCACTTGGCCGCCTTCCTTCCCACCCCAAAAAAACCTGACTGGTGCGGCTCGCAGGTCATGAGGGTGGCTGGATCCAATAGAATCTCTATTGGGGGCGAAACTTCCCTTATTCCCTACTTTCGTCGCACCAGTCAGAAACTCAAGACGCACCCATCGCACTCGGCCCACCTCTTGGGCCACCGGAGGAATCTGCACAGCGAGCTGCTGTAGCTCCTCTTGAAGGGTTTGCAGCTGCTCGCTGAAAGGCCTTGGTACAGCGAAGCGATTGGATGTGAGCTCTGAGGTCTTGATTGTCCAGGGGGTTGGGGATCAAGAAATGGCTAGAATTCGTCACGTAGACGTTTGATTGTAAAACCACCCAATTGGATTCTGAAACCTCATCATGTCGTGTATTTAGGTGACCAACAGTCTAGTGCTAACAACGGCCATTCCCATGAGGGGTGCGAAACATGGCCACCGAAAACTCGCTTCTTCTCCGAAGCAGAAAAAAACATCGTCTCTGTGGGCTGACGCCAAGTGGCTGCAAGATCGTCATGAGATGCGCATGCACAAACTCCTGGCCCGCTGGCATGCATATCTCAGCGAAACATCCGGTGGAGACAAACAATGGAATCGGACGGGTCCCAAGCAATCCATTTCTTGTATGTTTGCTCACATGTTACGGTGGTTTGGGGTCAATGTAGCTATAGTTTCCATACAAATGAGTGGGTTGTTGGGGGGGATGGATAGATGTCCAAGGAAATAGCATTTGTATACATTTGTCCATTGATTTATATCGTTGTCACGGTCCACAACTCGAGCAAGCTGAATGATCTTCTGGACATACTTGTGATTAACATCACTTGCATCTGAGAAGAGCAGTACACATCAACGGTATATATGCGGCATATCGCATATCTGTGTGTAAGCATTTGTCGGGCTCCGGTGGATCGACCCTGCTGTCGGTATTGACACCCCTGCAATCCTTAAAATGTAACTATCAACCGGATAATTCCCATGTTTGACGGGTTCAAACACTACCAAAGGCCTCCTGTGAGGTACAGGAACCAACAACAGGAACGCGTGCCAGCTTATCGCAGCAAACCTGCTCAACCTGAAACCTCTGAAGCCATGTATACTCAAGAGCAGTACTCAAATGATACTCAAAAGACCATTGACTTGCCATGAAATGCCACTGCAATGGCTTCAAGAAACTAGATGCCACTAGACTCGTAGACCCAGTATGTATCGAATCATGGGCAGCTCAAGGGATTCCCTTGAAGTACGTGAGCTGAATACATGGTCTACATGCGCCTATGCATGACACAAACCTATGAAACAGCCATCTGACGTTAACTAGTGTCATCTGTTCCTTCAAAATAATCGGCCAAACATACAAACCTTGGACAACCACCCCCCTTTCCGGTTTACGTTCAACGGCATGGAATTCAACGTCCTTGAGGTAGAACAAGGGCAAAACCCCAAAACAACACTTTGACTATGACACTCCATGACACAACGTAACAAAATGCTGACTGTCAGCATAATAAGACCAACAAAAACGGTCCTATGTTGTGTTGATTCTACTTGAAGACAGCCTCGGTGGTTTGTAACCTACATCCCAGGAACACCCCTGGCCACACGTCTCCTGCATGAGGACCTCATGCTCCTGGCCGGGCAGCGGGAGCGGTGACGTACGCGAGCTCGGACAGCCAGTGGTCCACTGTGGCACCTCACCATCTCCGTCCAAAAGTCGGTCCCTTCGACGATCTCCAAAGGATATGACCCGTTAGGGCGACTTATGGCGACTTCTCCTCAGGTTCGGTGGGCTCCAACCCCCCTGGCACCCACCCCTGGCCCACCGAACCGAAACGGAGGTAGGCCAGGAGCCCTAGGGTGAAGTCATTCCACTCGACTCGGGTCAGTCTTCATGGTGGTGTTCTCTGCCGTACCGTCGGTGGGTGGAAGGCGGCTGTGCGGGTGTTCGCTCTGATCCTCAAGTCATATGCCAAGTCGATTTGAATGACATGAGCTCATGGGTTTTCGAAGATCTCTTCGGTCATCCGAGATGTCTCATAATATGCCAAGTGGAGCCATGCCAGGTGACCGTGACCTCGTGACGCCCCCAAACGGATGACTCCGACGCGTTCCTCATGGCCGTCGTGTCCGTCTCTCCGGTCCTCGAGGCGTCCCACGGACTTCACGAAGCCGGTTGGCTCCGTGGGGCTCCGCCTGGCGGAGCGGGTGCGGAACCCGGTCCGGTGAAGGCGGTGGGTTTCTTGAGACCATGGTGTTTTTACTGCATGGATTTGCTACAGACCTGTCATGAACAGCGTCGTGTGTTGTAAGAGGACAGTCCAACCGCTTGGGAATATGTGGAAATTGGATGGAATTGGCAGTTGGGATCTCACCATGAAGAGTGAACCTAGATGTGGGCGAGCAGGTTGTGTAGAAGTCTTAGCAGACTTAGGTGATCAACAGGCTGATGGGCTACAAGACCCAAAAGACATCTGTTGGAGAGTGCTCGTGGGACTCGACTCATGGTGGTGGTCTGAACCAAAGAGAAAAATGACGTTTAATCAACTTTGGTGGTGTGGCACCATGACCTTGGAAGAGAGTGAGTTTCGGACCTTCATTGGTTTGCGGACGGAGTTTGGAGATGAGGGCCATTTTGTTGTCCCTGTTTTCCTGACCCGTTCGGAAGCTGTATTTACCATACAGTCGACTTGCGGATTTTGCAGCCATGGTCATCGTGGACCCCCCGTTCACAAAAGACGGCGGTCATTCAGGGATGGCTATGCCGCATCTTTCATTTGTCCACCTCCTCTCTTGCAAGTTTGCTGTGACTCATGTCACTTGGTCTTGTTGTTTCTTGCTGTGCACCCCGACGGGTGCTATGCGGGGACGATCCAGTGCAGCGTTGCTGGCTGGGTCACTGTAAGGTGCTGAACTCCCCTATGACACCTGCGTCCAGGTTGACATGCACAGTACAGGTCGAGGGGGCTGTGCATGCTGTGCCTTTGGTTCCTGGCATGAATCTGCTTGTTTGGTACCTGTTTTGGTAGTTGGTATTTGCTCTTCTGGCGTGCGTCTGGAGTGATGGACTCTGTTTTTGGTTTGTTGTGTTCTCGGTGAAGCGATGGAGTTTGACGTGTGTGCACTTTCATTCTCACCCTCTCTTCTTCAGCCTTTCTCAGCTTGCCTGCATTTCATTCAGCATGGCAAATCAAACATTGATTTCCATGTCTGGGTGGTGACTTTATTCATCAGTCAGTCTATTTAATGATTAACTTATAAGCTACATCGGTTTTCAGTCTGCAGGAGGGACCCGCCTCACCTCGGCCGCTCCCGTCGTCTCGTCTCCGCGGCCGTTTCGCGCGCAACGCACGTCGCGTGAGTTTCACACCTGGGCGATTGAACAAACTCCCTCGGCTTCGCTCCCTCCATGGCGAGGCGTGTTCCCGGGCGCCCCGGTTCGCCGCGAGGCTCGTGGCTCGAGGCAACGGCCAACGGTCAACGGCCAAGGATTGGAGATAGGATGAAATCCACCGAAAAGGCCAACAAAAGCAAACATCGCAGGGGGGGGGGTTCAACGTGTTTTCACTCCGATTTTTCAACGTTCATGGTGTTTCGAGTCCGAAACCTGTGTTGAACGGTGCCCTTGACCGGCTCGGATCGGAGGGGCACCGTGGAGGTGGAGACAGTGGAGGAGCGGACCCACGGCGGACCGGACGTCTGATCCAGAACCTGGTCTTTTGACCTTCTCAAGTATTGTTTGTTTGTATGAGTCCAGTAAAAGGAGGTCTTTCACTTGTAGGAGACGGTAAATTGACACTCCAAATTGATCGAGTTGCTGGCAATATCTGGTACCCAGATTGTTTGGCCTCACAGGCGTGTCGGGTCCCGGGTCCCGGGTCTTTTGGGGCCCTGGTACGTTCCCCACCGCAAATGCTCCTATGTTGGGTCAATCCTATTATATACCAGGGCCCAGTGGATGATGATGGTTACTGAAGGGCTTCTTCAACCAAAAGTGAGACTTTGTCGGTAAATGGGACAAACCCAACTGCTATGCATGAAACGCTTCCAAACACGCCCGGTTTGTTCAATGTCCAAGTGCTGGGCCAAAGAATTTGGACTTGGTGGAAGGATCACATGTGTGTGTATAACCTAGGGAGACCTTTGAAAAAACCCCTGAAAGAAGTGACATAGACTAAGATTCATTAATTGTTGTGCCACTGGGGTCACCCTATTAGAACACATCATCACACCTGCTTGAAGCCCAGTGGTTCTGGCAAACATGGGCATGCTTTGGAGTGCATGAAACTTATGTTCTTATTATATGCACTCCCTGGAATAATCATGGAAGTTGAACATCCACTGTTTGTAGAGGAAAATGGTCATCCAAGGGGCCATGCCATCCACGTGGCCATGATGATTCCAGGGAGTGTATCAACTTTGCACCTCAAACCTTCTCATTCCAAAAGGCTATCTAGTTGACCAAACAACTTTAGCCGCAACGCCTCTTGTGGAGCTGGGAAGACTGACTTTATCTTTCTTTCAGCCACCCAGCCACCCTTGGCTGCCAATATTCTCCAAAATGTTGATCACCTCGGTGGGTCTGACGGCAATTGTCTACCTCCAATTGCAGGTGCAACCCGGCTGTAACATAGGGTCATCCCTTCCGGCTGAGGTTGTCGAAAGAAGCCTGTCATAGTCATAGTTGTGCCCTCAAGTCCTCAAATCACGGGAATACCACCATTAAACCATTATTGAATGAAGTCAACGCTCTGTGCTTCTTAGCCTCCTCCGTTGTGGGCTGTCAAAACATTGATGGCAAGGCAGTTCCAGCTTCCAAAGGATCCAGTCGTTCATTGCTAAGTTCACCCTGCTTAACAAAATCACACCAGGTAGTGGGCAGCACCAGCAGCACTGGTCAACAGTGAACTTCCCCTGCTTTAATGTCCGCTTGCGTGCTCCACTTCTGCTGTTATCCTTCCAAACCTCCCATAATCTTGACTGTTGATGAATCAACCACATGCCCCTGTCAGAATGGTTACACCATGTACTTTCACATCTCCACATGGCAATTTTGATTAATCAACCATCTACAGACATCAGTAGGCCACCCCCATCTCTGCAACTCCCTCTGGCCTTCATCTGGCCTGGCAACATCAACATCCAAGCCAATCATATCAGGTAACATGCATGAGATCTGGAATTACTGCTTTCTGCGCAAAGAAGGGTCCCAAACATCTTAGAGTCCACTGTTTCAGTGGACAGCAGTCCCTCCTCCTCAAAGCATTCTTTGACTCAACTGTAAATCCCGAATTCTGTGACCCTACCAGAGTCCCATTCCTACCAGAGTCCCATTGACTCGGATCCCGGCAACGCCCTCATGCCCTCTTGGCAGCTAAAGGGGCACCCTTCAGTGCCACACTGAGATGCCTCCGTTGAGACCGCCAATTTCCCGGCGTTGCCTCCCCAATTGGTTTCTTGGAATCGACGGGTCTCCAAACTCCGAGACCGACAAAGGCGGCGCCATCCTCCCACACCCAGGATAGAAGGGTTCTTCAGGCCTTAGGGACCTTGAAAGGGGTTGAACATGTACTATAAACATACACCATAAGGCTCCAGTCGTACCTCCTCAGAAGGTACAAATGTACCCTCTAAACCCACCCCAGTCCCACCTTCTTAGAAAGTACGTGGAGCCCTATCAAGCCCCTATAGGAACCGAAAAGGTCCTTGTGAAAGTGCGTGACCATCTTACAACCTTTGAGTCCACTACACCTGGCACTAGACGAGGGCACATCTGCACTTCACTGCTGAGCTCGCTCACTGGGTGATGGTGATGGCACCTGTGAAAGAAAACAACCAAAGCAGCTGAGAAACTGCAACCAGGTTGCTGCCGTGAGTGGGTCACCCACAGACAACCCTGCACTATATACTTAGATATAGATACTTATGGATCTGAATCTGATGTGTCTCCATCGGAAGCACTAGGACAGTTCTCGTTTTTTTTTTTTTTTAAATGTTGTTTCACCCCAAATTCACCCCGGCACCTGGATTCGAGCTCGTCCGCCCACATCTGCAGCGCCTGGAACACATCAGGTGGGTTGAGCATCCCAACAACTCATTGGAGTTTCCCAGGTGGTGGGCTTTGGGGAACACTTGGAGGGTCTTTGGACCTAGAATGATGCAACAATTGACTTCATGGCAAACACTAGGGCAAAAAACACGGCGATGTCAACAAAAACAGTGTTTGCGTAAAAATCTAGTAGCACGACGTTGCCTGACGCCTTTATTTCGCTTGACACCCGCTCACCTGCAATGTCGGACGCGATAAACGCTCGCCGATCTCACCGTCCTTTTCCGGCCTGTCTTAGGCAATGCAGCACGGACTCCATGCATGTGTCGTCCATAAAGTTGTGGGACACAGCGATGCCTAGGTCTCCAGTCTGAGGCGCTTGGCAGTTTGGATCTGTTCACCCTGTTCGCCCAGATGCTCCGGATAGGTTGACCTCCAAGTCACGTAGTCATTCGTTGTGGACCATCATGGCTTTGGATGGTTTTGGGGCTTTTTCACCCCAAGGCCACAACCAAGATGAGACCATGAGACCGACGCGTCATCTGTCCGCAGCCAGGACATCCCTTCAGGTCCGAGGCTACTTAAAACGACGGATCGAAGCAGAAGCGATGGCAACTCCTGGGATCGAGTTCACAAGATAATTACCTGGGTTCCCCTAAAGGATGGTTAATGGACACTCCTTAAGCCTTAACCTCTAAGGGGCCATCATTAGACATCCTCAGGGGGCCCTGGTATTAGCTGCATAGCCACGCCATTGGACAAGGATCCACTGCCAAAACCGCTGGGCAATGAAAAGCACATGGAACTTGTTGACCAACCAACTAATGTCAAGTTACATCACATTCTCATGTTCAGACCTATGGCTTCGTGGCACCCCGACAACGCCTTGAGCACAGCACACTCTGGCTAGCAGTCGGCTCTGCAGACTTATCGGCCCAGATTGCGCAGCATATAGCCATGTTCAACCAACGGCTGCGTTGAATAAGACACCCCTTCTACCCCCTTTCTCCAACCAACGATGCATGGAAACCGTGCAGCTGCATGTGGATGACCCTTCCTCTACACGTGAGGTCGTCCTCTACACGTTCTTGTGAAAACCACTCGTTCGTTGAGGATTGGACATGTCTGTCTTCCTTCGGCGCCCCATGACCAACACTACTTCATGTCCGTTTCGTATCCTTTAAAGACCTGGCCGGTGGGCCAACTACCCGAATGGAATGATCATGTGAAACCAGAAACAACCACACCAACCTTTACCAAGAGACGTGGAACATGTTGTTCGAGCAAAAAACACCCACCATGCCCCACCTGTGCCGCTGGAAAACCCTCTCCGTCCAGCAGGTCAGCAAGTCGGTCAACCTCTCTGGCTGCTGTCCAAGCATCTCACCTCCTGCGCCACATTCTTCACTGCATGCCTTGGAAGGACACACACCCAGCAGGCCTCTTTCTGCATGTGACTCGTCTCCATCCCATCGCCGAACCCATCGCAATCGCGCCGGAAGACGCGAATTCCCCCAGCGGTTTTTGGTGCGAACCAGTGGCAGGGTACCTGCGGGAATGAAGATCAGCTCGCCCGCAGAAAGCAATCCACCCCAAGCCTGACAGCAGTGCTGACAGTAATGATTCGGTCGATAGCTGATTTTGTGATTCACCCTTCAGGACTCATGTATAAGTCCTGCATCACATGAAATCACATGTAGAGACCTGTATATAGATAGTCGAATCCATCCATCTCAAGCTCTCTATGCGCAAAAGAATGTGCAACATGTCTTCTCCTTCAACGCTAACATATCATAAATGTATCGAACAAACTCCGAGCAGGGTCGCATCTTTCGAGCTGTTACCGCTTTGCATGAACGACCGAACAGTGCCTTATCCACTCGTCCACATGCTACAGAAACCCTGCCCCAAAACACTTTCAGCATACACAAACTGACCTAGATTCAATCAATCAATCTGTCATCTTCCCTGCATGCTCGACTGCGTCATTGGTCGCCCTGTTCTCAGGATGCCCCTGTTCGAAGAAACATGGAAGACATGCGGACACGTGCGGACACGTGCTCCTGAAATCCTCATGGAAGTGGACAATGACCTCTTGCATGACCATGCTCCTCAACAAAAAAACAGGTGATGTTGTTCCACTTCCATGAAGATTTGCGGGCAATCTATGCAGCCTGAGGATGCAAATGGATTGCTACTCATCTGGCATGCTTCGTGGCCATCGCACTCCCCCGCACGGAGCTCGCTCCGCGCACGTTCGCTCCGCGCTCCACGGAGGCGCCTCGTGAGTCGCACCGGAAAGCCATCCAGCCTCCGCTGAGCTGAGAAGCAAAAGCTCCAAGTGGCAGATGTGTATATATATATATATACATACCCAAACACTCCATGGGACTGCCATATATGCCTACATTGACCCCCAAAACCACCCCAACTGATTGGCATATATATGGCATACATGGAGTGTCTGGGTATATATATATATACCTAGCGCTTCCAGTCGGGGCGCCCTGTCTGGAGACCTGTTTATGTAGTGTGGAGATATCCAGCCAGGTGACCCCGAACGGAAGCAGCTGGTATATATCCCCAAATAGAGAGTGGCAAGGTTTCCAATACATTTTAGGGGGGATCCAAATGCTTTTCTATCTATTATTTGGGGGTCTGCACAAAGCAAAATAAGATTGTATAAGTACCAAAGTCTTTGATGCCGCATCCAAGTCACCTCCACATTCGTGGATGAAATAGTTGTGAGGTTTCCTACTCATCTCATCCCCCAACGTGGCTCTCAAAGTTTGACACGTCGCTAGGATGCAGCGATGATGCAGGGTCACAACCAAAATGACGTTACATCCCCTAAGGCCGCTGCCTAATCAGACATAATCAGACTACGTAAAGTCCACACACACATGAACCGGGACGACGCGTGATTATCATGTCCCGTATGTGTTCGTCTTTCATTGAATCATTCTTTCTTTTGATCTATAGATGCCTAATCCAGGAGCCACAAAAAGCGGGTGGCGACACCACTTGCCCAGGGGCAACACCGAAAGGTGCCCCAGGGATATGTTTGCAAACAGCTGTTGCCATTCCACTTGGAAAAAGCACCCTCCAACCTGACAAACACCAGTGATACCTCTTGCGAGATGATACCAGATTAAGAATCATTAAGATGCTCGGGACTGCTGCCAGGATTCTTCCATTGAAAGGGGTAGGGGGGGCATCTTTTTCAATGTGATATTTACAATAAGATACTTAAGTAAGAAATTCTATGAAATTCTCATCACCAAACCCAAATCTTTGGCAGTAGTTGCAGTGGGCTGACTATGAAAATCAATATATACTTGCACCGGACCTCGCTCAAGCATTGAACCTGTGACCCTTGCAAATGAGTCACACACACACAGAAAGACAACATATATTATCATCAAATCCTTGCTCGTGGCATCGTCATTGGTCACAAGCAAGAAACTTTGCAGATCGTTTGAGGCCTCCGAAATAGCAGCACTGGCACTCAATCATTCCACCCAGAATGGGCACCACTGCGTCCGTATCAACAGGGCACTCACTTGCCCTGCAAGTGGCGAGAGGTCGCTTGTTCATCCTCCGTTCTCTCCTGCCAGTCTCGGCCGTGTAGTCGACATTCGTTGGAGAAGCGTCACTGTCAGCCATGCATCGCCGCATCGCAAAAAATAAAAGCACTCTGAGTCCGACATCTTGTCCCATATACCAACCACTACGTTCAGGCTCAGGGTCCATGTTAGTTGTCAGCGAAGATTTCCAGCCCCTTAGGGCTCCAGCCGTACCTTCGTTTCGGTTGGACTGGGGTGGGTGGGCAAGGAGGGTAATTGCACATGATTTCGGAGGTTCCGACTGGAGCCCTAAACAGCTCCAAACATCTCCTCTACCTGCCGCTGAGCGTCCAGTCGCTCGCAGCCGGTGGTGGAGAACAGGTCCTGCCGCGCCAAAGGCGGAGAGCACGGGGTCTGCTGTGGAATTCAATAGATCTTCTAAGATAGGCACTCCTTGTTTTTGGCAAAGGGAACCGCATAAAACCTCCATTCCTTACATAGTTTTTACAAACAAAAACTAACCTATCTGCTATAGGCTAGGTTATATGCGTTCCGTGAGAATAGCAGGAGACTAGGCGCATCCACACGGTCACAAAGCTGGCACGCGTTCGAATGCTCCTCCGGCACTCCAGCGGGCACCGCTTCGCATCCGTGCGGGGTCTCGGCCTATAGGCGGCTGACGAAACGTCTGGAAACTAAAAGTGAAGCATGGTGAACCAAGCTTGGGTCTATTCTCTAATCATTTCCTGGGCCGAGTGGATGATGGTTCAGTCGCAGGCCTTGTTTTTCAAAAATAGTAATACTTGTTTACTGGCTGTTACAGGTAATAGGACAGATCCAAGGCGAACCTAACTTTTCAATCGAACTCTTACACCTAACCTGTCACCTTGAATTCATCTTGAGTGGGGTGGCGCTTCAGCGGCTTCCCCATTCCTCCCGGACATCCACTTCTGCTGCCTGGGAAGACCTTGCTCCATGCTCGGACCTTCTTGGTGACCTTCTTGGTGACCCAAAGTGGCCGTACCAAATGGATTCCAAGGGATCAATCTAAAGAAACAGGTGGATTGCTCCATGACGTGCCCAGGTTGATGGAAGTCCAAACTCCTAACCCCCAAGCTGACCTCTTGGCGGAACCAACGAGGCATGGAACCAAGGCAAGGTATCAACGAGTCGCTTTGATGGCTTCACCCATATCTCTCCAACGGTGCTTTGGAGGACTCTTCTATGGAGTGCAAGTCCTTGACGTGCGCTTTGGTTCATCTGCTCACAGGAGATCAATTCCATCTGCTCAGCAAATCCGCAACTCCAAAGAAATAGAGTTAGACGTCTGAGCCTCAGAATCATCAATCAAATTAAGAGCGTTGCAAATCTACTGAGCACACATATGCGAGTCGTAGTAGTATAGAGTATAGAGCAGCTATATGGCTATATGGAACCATGGCCCAACCATGGCCCAACCACTGATTGGACCTCTAGTGGCAGTTCTTTCAGCCAGCGCTTGTGGCGGACGTGGACGCACCACTTAGCATGGGTGCAAGACCGGGGACCTTCCAAAAAAGGTGCCTCCACCACACCCCTTTCGTATGCTGGGCATGAGGAGTATGCAGTATGCAAAGTAGAATTTTTCACATGAGAAACATGGTCGGTTTTCCTCCACCCAGGATTCTGGGCTTCATCCAGGATTCTCTGGTGCACCAAGGAGCTTGGGAACATCGGGAACATCCACCTCAACAACCCAAATCACCAGATCCCCCACAGCCCTCGCACCTGCCAGCGCAGCAGGCGCCAAAGTTTTTGACCCTTGGTCAGCCACATCCAGCCGTGGCTGCCAATCCTGGGAAGAGTTCGTCCGGGAGAAGTGTCTGAATAAGCATAGCCAAGCTGGCTAGCTGGTGCTGGCAACAGCTATGCTACCTGATCAAAATGAGAAGGGCCAAGAGATGCGAAGATTGGTTTCTGCATCTGATGCCCCTCCTAACATGCATTCATATCATGAATTATGGGTCACGGCAGCCGCACAGTAGATGCACAGGGCGCAAAAGTCTAGGATTAAATTAGGCACCCCCCCCGAGCCGAATTTCGATCTTCATGCGCAAACCAGACTCCAGTCATTAAGAGCAAACTGCAGTAATTATAGCAGTATATATCATTGGGGCACTGGGGCAACTGCGCACCATGTTTGCCTCCTTTTGACCTCCTTTTGAGTATACCTCATATAGCTCATTCCATCCCTCCCGCCGTCTTCCACCTATCTTCGACCTGGCGCCGAGGGACGGATCGAGGTGGGCACAGGTGCCCGAGCCTGGCTCACCGATGTAGATCCAACGGAGGCTGCGGCACAGCTCCTTGGAGTCGGGCTTCCTTCCTTCCCCAGGCGGGGTGACTGGATTGGCGTTATAGTACTACTACCAGCACCCGACTCCACAGGTCGACACCGGCCGAACAAGCCTCCATGTTGGAGACCTGTTGGAAGGTGCTGGTATATGGGAGTACTTCTGTGAGTGTGACAGGCGTTCTTTTTGGGGGATGCGTGATGAATGGCAGGTGGCGAGAGTCAGTTGGTAAACTATACTGGAGATTCATGTTCAATTTGTTTGTGGACTTGGTAGTTTGCCTGTTTAGTCTCGAAACGCAAGCTTTCTACTGCAAACTCCTGGAAGACCTAAATCTCCGAAAGCCACTATAGAAATTACAAACATTTAACGGCGCATGAGAAACTGTATTATCGAACAAGCTACCAACTTGACCCACAAAATTCACACCAAAAAAAAAACACACAATCCATATAAAAACCCGCACATCCAGAAAAGTGGTAGAGCAGTGTTTCAAGCGAAGGAGTCCAAGAAAACCACTGAAAAAGCAGAAACCACAAGATTTCTTGCAGAGTGAACGCCTGGGTTACGTATACAAGCAATTACAATTATATATACAATGAAGCTATCGTAAATTCTACCTATTTATAAGAATGAATCTTGAACACCCAAATAACAGTCTAGCAAAGGCTATGTAAAATGTGTTCAAATGGATCAGCTCTTTCATTCTATATAAGTGCTACAGTGATGGATGAAATCCTGAACAATACCCAAGTAGAGTGGATACTGTGGAGTTCCATGTCTCAACATCCACTGCCGTTCTCCCCATTCCCTTTCACCAACGTCACCTTAAAAAGAGACGTTTATTGATATTGATTGATATTGAATATTGCACTGCAGGTCAAGAACCTCCTGGCCCGCAAACCAACCAAACACCTGCTGGTCTAACGTCAAGCACCAGGTTCAAAGAAAGCAAAAAGGATCCAAGAGGCCCATCAAGGATAGGCGGATCCATCCAGTGCGTGGATCATGCGCAAAGGCAACACTCGTACCATGGACCCATGACCGGACTGCCTTTCGCTCGGACTTCGGTCTGGAAAGTCAAGGTGAACCTTCCATCTGTTTGTTTTGAGGGGTTCCCCCAATCCGCCCCCCACCAAAAAAAAAAACTACTCAAGCTTTTGCTGTATTTTATTATGATTGAAGATGATTTAAGGCTGTTCTCGGAGGTGATCCACCTTAGGGCCTTAGGGGTCTTTCCGCTGTTTGGAACCTGCTCACGACACATATCAGAAAAATCATCACTCCAGCAGTCACAAAGGGGTGCTTAATGGAGGTTAGGGGTGCCCAGCTACTCCACTCACTTGGAGACTAAACGCCACCCCGACATGTGACTCCTGGCTCATTTCATAGCTGCTCAGCTTCATGCTCCGATCCCAATTGGCTTTTCAGGACGCAGTCAGCAAAGGGCACCTCACCCGGGAACCGGCGAGTCCCGGCGAGCAGACCGGCGTCCCGGCCGGGTCGTTGGCGCCAAAACCAGCCGTGGGAGACACGGGCAATTGGCTTTGGAACCTCTTCATTGGGTCTATCCTTTTACCGGTAACAGTGCGATGATGGTTACTGAAGGCTTTGTTCTGATAAAATATGTGATAGTTGTTTAACAGGCAATCAAACACAATCTCTTCAAGCTAAACAAGGTGGCCGGGAAGAGACTGTGGGCAATCCATTCCACTAGAACCTCTACTTCAGGCAGGGCTAGAGAGCCTTCCATCAAAAAAGAGGTTCCCTTAAACAAAAAAGGAATACAAAACACATTGAAACACAACCTTTTTTTCACCACCGAACGGTGTTCGGTAGGAACATGGGTCACACACGTTTTGGGCCACGTGCCAGGGTCGCGTGCGGCGGCATTTTCTTCCTGTGGGGGTTGGAGGTTCCATTGTTAGATGAAGGAACCTCCCAAATAAGTGCAACTGAGCGAACCTGCCATGCGCCATTTCGGACGATGTTTGAAACATTCAACAGTGGTGGAGCCCTGTGAAAACAGTCGTCACTGAGCTTCAAGTCCAATCTACAGTGATGAAACCAGTAATTAGATGCCACAAACCCCTTTTTGGATGACTTCTATAGGTGGAGATCTTTCGTCTATCACGTGTCCTAGGCCCAGTGGATGATGATGGTTAGGTTGCAGGCCTTGTTCAAGAATGGTGATAATGGTTTGCCATCCATCCATCCATCCATCCATCCATCCATTCATCCCTCTCAGAGGGGTCTAAACACATCTTGTCTTCCTCCCTGCCGTTCCACCGAACCCACCTCCTGTAGCTCAGCCGTGAGCCCCTCCTGGGCCGGCAGCCCGCAGTCGTCCGCATCATACCTGGGTCGGTCATACCGTCTCGTATGGACCGGTCATGCAACGCCCGAGGATGTTCGGAAAACACCCGTGTTTTCCGAGGTTTTGTCAGGAAGAACACTCAGAACTATGGCGGAGATATGAGATATATGTGTTTTTTTTCAGGAGTGCTGAGAGCGAACATGAACAAAAAGGGATATGTTGGGACTCGGGACTATCTTTCTCTCTCTCTCTCTCTTTCTCCATCGCCCTCTCCATGAATCCCCATACCTGACGTTAAAGATTGTGAATGTGAAAGTCATGTCTGGGCCGAAGCTCGTAGATTCTCAGGACAGCGGACATCTCTTGAACTGTCTTGAGGGACGGCCACCCCACCTGCATCTGCAGCTGCATCTGGCGCATTGACGTCAAATACCGAAGAGATCCGAGATCCGGTCGGTAGGTCCCCTCTTCACGGGAGAACTTCACCAAACTCGACTCCAACGAACATGGATGCCTGGATGGCACCTGGACCCGGTCTTCGGCACCGTCATCCAACATCCGGGACCCGGAAACATCGTCAAACCATCGGGCCGATGCCCAAACCATGGATGGTTTGTCCGGGAGTCGCCTTGCGAAGCTCCGTCCAAACGGGATCAAAGTAAGAATGCGACACAGTGAAACACATCACAACGAATTACACCTGGATCTGAATTGAAAGGGCTGACATGTTGAAGAGTTAGAAGATCAAAGAAGATCCAAATAATAACACGGGGACTCGTCCCAAGGTTTATCTATGGGATCATCCCTCCCTCTCCTTGAGCGCCAGCTAGCCATGATTTTTTCATGGTGGCCCAAGAATCGCCAGATGAGGAACTTCCAGGCCACAAAAACACAGAAACCTCATCTGACCACATTGCTGTCCCAACTGCCACGGAAACCTGTGTCTAGGTCAATCGGGTTCTACCAGGTTTCAATTTCTTAAGCGACACTTCAATGCAAACAGACTCGCCTGGACTTTAGGATAGGAACACTTGATCTCGTTAGAGGTTCCCAGCATCAGCAGGTTGATTGATTAGTGGACCTTGCAAGCATGCAGCCTTACAAACATGCCCCGCTGTTCAAAAACAAACCAACAAAAACGGATCAATCCTTCCAAAGAAAAGGGATTCTGATTGATCCAATCTTCAAGGCAACAACACATGATTCATGGACGTCCCCCAACCTCAACCCCCCCAACCTTCACACCACCGCTGGCACCGCAACCAACGACGGGAGGCTCCCATGCGCCCACGTACAAGGCCAAACCATCATCGGACAAAGGCCCCAGCTCCTCGCGCCTGGCGAGACTTTCAAGTCGCAAGTGCTGAGAGTGGGAGCGGTGCTGGTGCTGGACCATTGTGGTGTAAAAGAATGAGCCATTTAGAAGGCCAACTTTGCAATGTATATTGCTTTGATTTGCATTGGATAGGCATTATTACAGTATATCTTATTATAAGGTCCAAGATCCTAAGAGACCAACCCTCCCTATATCAGGCTAGACCCGTCAACCGTCAGACTCTTTGCCCAAACACTCCGAAGTAAGTGACACGACAAGGTTGGGGAGAGCTTTCATGATGTCGCGTGATGTTTCATGCTCATGTCCCCTCGTTTTCAGTCCGAGACATTGTTTACAGGGAAGCTATATATGACAGAAACTGGTTGGTTGGCTTGCCTGCTGTGACAAAATTGTAGCTTCTGTGAGCCATGCTTTCTAGCTAGTGTCAACTGCAGTTCTATAGTGTATGAATATGAAGCTCATACTAGGCAGGGAATGGTAGGCGGAGCTCCAGGACTTCCATTCATTGGGATCTGCAAATCTGCGACACTTTTAAAGAGCTTCGCAAATGGCAGGCATCCAAGGATTTGCCTGAGATCAATGCGGAAATCCTCGCTGAGTTCAGCAGACCACAGCTAAAACTCAAGCAAAGTAAAACTGTGGCTTCCTACGACGATGGAGGCTAGCGAGAGGCTAGCGATACAAAACACCCAAACGGGGGGGACATGCAATTGGTCAGTTCTAGACTTTGGGGCATGACCCACCAGCAGAGTTAAACACCCCTTTCTCCCCGATATGCTTGGGGTGAGTAAATCCACCAAGTTCCAAACTCTTGAATCTTTTTCAGTAATTATCTTGTGAAAACATCTATCTTGTGGAAGCAGGTTCCTTGTCTGGAGCATCACTGTGTCGACTTCTCTGATTTCCCGAAAGCACGGGTTCTGCACCGTGCACCCGGAAAAACGCGACAGATGTTCAGGCAGTTGTCAATACAACATTCATCATATGTTACAATATGGCATGCGTATGCAACCATGAAGTTATGTTTATCATATGTCACCTGGGCCCTGAAAAGATGATTGCTCCATCTCGCTGGAAAACACAAACATGCCCCAAACACTTAGCAACAAAAACCATGCTGGTGAGTTACCAAGATCGACACCCCAAGCTGCAGTTGGTCGTAGCACATCGCTTCACCTCTTTTTCGTGGCCGCCCTGGGAGCGATCCGCCCGCCGCGGTGATGGGTCGTTGGTCCCAAGTAAGAGGTCGGGTGTGACCCTGGCAGGCGGTCCAGTCTGAGTTAAAGCTGGTCCGTCAAATAGACCGAACATGGACGGGTGTTTTTGTATGACTATAATCGAGAAGGGATCTGACAGTCAGATGGGGAAAGAAACACATCGCGCTGACCTTGGCGCACTGCTTCACTTTCGATCGGCAGTGCGGGCAGGATACATACTGAAGCCTACTCGTCCGACGGTCACAAGATTGACAAGCCATAAGCCGAGTGGGGCGCGAGAGCCACAAGCCGTGGGGTGCATTGGGCGGGATAGAGTTCCAGGCTCGGTTCGCTGATTATTTAGAGCTTGGCTGTCCATCACCTTTCTACACACACACATATATATATATATAGATCATAAATATAACTCTCGCTATATATAGTATCATACACAGTTATACACAGCATACTACATCTATAATCAGTAATTATGATGAATTACTTTCATCTTCGAAAAGTGCGCTGCTTGACCTTCGGTTGGGATTGCTGGTTGCTCTTTTCACTCTTTCTGCTTATACGGGCTGTATACATGTTCAAGCAACGACCAGCTAATAAGGGGCCCCCAAATCTGCGACCAATCTCATGGCAAACAGGTGGGTCAGGTCAGGTCAAGTGCAGGTCAGGTCTTTTGCTTCAGAAATCATCTACCAAAAGCAAGTCTTACAATCCATGACATCTGGGCCACCACGATCTATAAGACCAAAAAGGCATGTTGTTCATGTGGCACATGAGCGAAAGCAACAAGACCCTGAAAAGGCCCTTGTCTGGCTATGGAACTCCCTGGCTGCCCTGAACACCTGGAAAGATGGACAGCCACCCCTTGCAATTCGGGGAAGAATGGCACAAGCAACGTTTGGAGGCTGAAGGAGCTTGATCCACTGGTGTATATATATATATATACAAACAGTAAAACTAACTATATACATTACAGTATTACTATTATTATCTATGGTTCTTACTGGTAGCATCGGGTAGCCAACGGGGGGTTGGGCATCTTGCAGGAAGAATGGTAACATCTGGTAACATGAAACTCTGAGACTGAAACATTTCAACATATACCAACAAAACCTCCAAACTTGATTCTCACTGCTTCTAACATCCGTTGTGGCTCGCCTTTTGGGCAGCATGAAGCCGTGCCTTTTCTAGCCCTTAGCACTTCTACAGTGGTTGCTTTCCCACTCACCGCCCAATGTTTCGTTCGGTGTTCTCGTTCGGCCCAGGCCGCCCAATGGTTGGGGGTTTTCGGGTCGGCGTTTTCAGAGTCATCTTTGAGTTCCCAACCTTTTGTTTTCTTGTTGGAACCGAGGTTTTCAGGCTTGATGTGCAAGCTAGAGTCTAAGAGGGATAATTCTGGTTATGTACCATTAGTTATCATTAGTTATCAACCATGAAACCATGTGATTAACCATTAGGCCCTGTCTCAACACCAACTCATTCTCTGTCTGAATGATCTGTCGGATCTCGCTGCCCCACGGCGACGTGTTCCGGCACTGCGTGTGTTCCGGATCTCGCCGCTCAGTCAAAGCACTCAGCCTCAAGGCACCAAAGTGAGGACATCGCTAAACCTGGAAAAAATGGTTCACCAGGAAAACCACCACTTCCCATAGGAACTCTACCAGGAAACCCACCGAAACACCGAAAAAGAGCCACCTGGTATCCTCCAAAATGGTTCAGTATCCAGGCCAGTGCCAACTGGACATGGAAAAAGACACCTCCCCTGGACGCCCCCGAAAGTCCAATTGGTCGGTTTGGAGTTTTCATGACCAGAAGGCGACGAGTACGTCGCTGCAACTAGCTGGGCCTGCATACAGTGGAAGGGTTTGCTCTCCCGAAGAATGCTGCTGGGCCTGTAGGCTAAATTCAAGCTCTTCCCATCTCTTCCCCTTTTCTGAGGTAAAATCATTGCAGTAAGTTCCGGGGTCTTTTCAGTATACACCACATGGGTCTGATTCCAAACCACTTGATCAAAACCCTTGTGGTTTGAGATTTCTTGGTGAGAAAAGGGCTACACAGTTACTCATGTCATCGCATTCATGTGGCAGTGGTCTCAGGAAGTAGATGGCACAATCCCCAAGTCTGGTGGTTTATATGGATCCCATCTGTCTAGGACATCATGGGGTCTGTGCCATCTACTCTGAAACCACTGTATGTGGGCTGTCTTTAGGCGCTGGGGGAAGGTAACTGGTGGGGGTCATCACGACTTGGAAGGAAAAATCCAGGCATCCGGCATCCGACTTGGATTCAAGGTGATCCTGCATTTGGGAGTTAGCCCGCCAAAATTTTTGCGTAACCCACCAGGGGACCAGGAAGATGTCCAAATGATTGGAGTGGAGGCAGGACGAAACAAACATCCTCGCCGCCTCTATTGAACAATGCCTTGAAAGCTGCCGTGGTGTATTGGGGGGCCCTTGAGAGGAGCTCATCACTGCTGTGAGCTTGTTTGGTCAGCCGCTCGGCTTGGTTCCATGAGAAAACACAAAGCCGAGAAGGGGCCTATGTCACAGATTGCCTGTGAACTTCCTACGTTACTAGGCACAAACAAGGCAATACATACGCAAACTTGCAAACCGGAGTGGTCCAGAAAAGCCCGCCGAGCTGCTCGCCTTCCTGCTCGAGCTGCAGTGGTTCTCACTGGTAGTTGTTGCAGTGGTTTCAGAGGCTCGATGGCACACCCCCGAAACATGTCCTTTATACATGGCACTGGCACCCCAAGATGTCCCAGACAAATGGGGCTCCATATAAACAACCTTTGGGGGATTGTGCCATCTACTCTACGTAACACCTTTGACCAGCGCCCTGTGTCCTACGCCTTGTTCCAATATGACTTGCTTGACATTCTTTACATGAAAAAGAGTTGTTCCAATGTGACTTGCTTGAGATCCTTTACACAACAATAATGGTTGTTCCAATATGGCTTGATTGCAATAAATCCTGTACATAACAATAGTAACAATGGCTAAGCCACTATGGCTTGCTTGAGATCCTTTTTACATAGCAATACTGCTTGTTGCACTATGGTTTGCTTGAGATGCTTTACATAACAATAGCGGTTGTTCCCCTCCCAGCGGAACTCCAAGCCAAGGGGTTGTCATGATCGTCATGGCTGTCATGATCGTCATAGCTACTGTTCTTCGTCTCGAGCGAATCCCGTTCAGGAGGCTCAAAAGCGCTCATGTCCGTTTTCGGACCTCAGTACCCGCAAGGCACGAGGACATCCGAAACGACCCCCTGTTCAAGCATCTTGTCGCTAAACATGTCCAGGCAATGCATTGCTCGGTCTGTTTGTGGGGTCCAGCAGGTCACTACTGCAGTGGACAGGCGCCCTAAGCCAAAAAATAGAGCACCTTTCCAACAAAGCGCAACAGCTTATTATAGAGAAAAACTGTGATTTCATGGTGCAACTTCCAATACTTTTAAAAATATATAGAGCTATGTACTAGACCCTTTAATCCTTTAAATGACTGTTGCAGTTAATTGGTAACACACTATACATGACCCTTCCATGTAAGTTGCTGGCTCCACATTGAGGGCTCAAAACAAAAAATCCGCACGCCGATTTGTGTCGAAAATGAGCAGCATCTGGATCAGCATCGTCATGCAAGCTGCAAAGTCCTGGCGACCATGAGATAAAAACAACAATGAATTTGTGCAAAAGATTGACAAGTCTGTCCCCTTAATAGCGATGGCCCCCAACCTAGTAGCGATGGCCTCCAACCTAGAAGCAATGCAAAATAGCAATCGCCTC